CCTGGCTGATGAGAATAAACATGGGTGGCTGGACGCGGTGGCTCAAGCCTGTATTCCTAAGCATTTTGGGAGGTAGAGGAGGGAAGATCATGAGATCAGGAGTTCAAGACCAGCCTGGCCAAAATGGGGAAACCCCTTTTCTACTAAAACTACAAAAAGTAGCCAGGCGAGGTGGCAGGCACTTGTAATCCCAGTTACTCGGGAAGCTGAGGCAGAAAAATAACTTGAACCTGGGAAGCGAAGGTTGCAGTGAGCCCAGATCATGCCACTGCACTCCGGGCTGGGTGACAGAGTGAGAGAGTCCTTCTTGAATAAAAAAAAAAGAAGAAACATGGGTTACAAATCACTGATGTGGTCACTTTTCTTTTTTCAGGCTTAACATTTATTATTATGATGTAGAATTAACAAAAATTAACAAGTTTTCTGTACACTTGCTATGTGCTTGGTGCACCTATGGCATCATTATCTGCCTAATGTTATCTGCATCCAATAGTAGCAAATATTAAATGCCTTTAATAAAGAGATCCTAATAAACGGGCTTTGTGTGGGTGACAAGGCTGTTTTATTTCACGTTTGGGTGCAAGCAGGCCGAATCCAAGAAAGGATAGGCAAAAGGAGTAGGGGTGGGAATTGGTTTTATAGGTTGGGGCAATTTTTGGGGATGCAGGAGTATTACAGAGTAAGATCAGTTACAGTGGTAGGGGAGGGGCAGGGAAGATACAGTACCATAAGTCTAGTTACAATTGCGGGTGGGGTAAGGCGTAAGAATAGAAACCATGGGGCTGGATGCAGTGGCTCACACCTGTAATCTCAGCACTTTGGGATGCTGAGGCGGGTGAATCACGAGGTCAAGAAATCAAGACCACCCTGGCCAACGTGGTGAAACTCAATCTCTAAAAAATAGACATAAAGAAAAGATGGCAGGGTGGGGTGCAGGGATATTCACAGAGCAAGAACAGTTAAAATGGCAGGGTGAGGTGAGGAGTAGTCACATTATCTTTTTTTTTTTCTTTGTGCTCCATGCTTCTAGGGTAGATTATCATAAAAACAGTTAAGATGGCAGGGTGGGGAGAGAAGCTCAATGTCCGGAGGAGGGGGAAGCTCAGCTGGGTGATAAGGGATAATGGCAAAATCACACAGTGTGAGGGGTGATCAGCTGAGACAGGCAGGACTTAAGACTTTCTTTTTGTTGTTGTTTTAAAGACGGGGTTTCACCATATCTGTCAGGCAGGTCTCGAGCTTCTGACCTTAGGTGATTCGTCTGCCTCAGCCTCCCAAAGTGCTGGGATTACAGGCGGGAGCCATCATGCCCGGTTTAAGACTTTCTGGGTCCAGACTTGCACATGGAGGCCTGACACCTAACAAATGAAAACTCAAATAAACGTAAGGTAAAGAAATGGAAACAATTATTCTATGCACATGCAAACAAAAATTAAGGAGGAGTACAGAAACTTAAGTTTTAGTTATGTTCTAGAAATCTGATTGTGTCTATGTCAGTTTGTATACTGTGTGTAAGAATATATGCATTTCTTTTGTAGCCACGTCATGAATATTTTAATGTCCCTGTATACTAAATGACTACCCATCAAGTATGCAGAATTTCACAGAGGAAATAGAATGCTGATATACATATGAAAGAAAATATCCTCGGCATGGTGATTTATTATCTTGTATAATTATAGTAGAATATTTCAGAACTAATACTTTTATGATTGTATTTTTTTCCTGTTCACATTCCAAACTTTTATTTTCATTTTATATGTGATCTTGATACAGCTGATTCCTCTCTGAAACTGATTCAATCTCATCTTGATAAAATATGACCTAGAAGTGTTTTGAGTAATATTAAATCTTAAACACATACATATTATCATTAATGAACCATCTATGATTAATATTACAAGAGGAAAACATGACAATCATTAAAATATTTACCAAAGATAATGTAGCTGAAGTGCTAGGTCAAAATGAGCAGTACCGTAATACATAGTATGGTTTGGCCTTCAAATATTGAGGTTAAAAAAAGAAACAATTTTGTGTGAATATCTTACAATCTGTATGAGCTAATGTGTTCTAATGTATCACATAAAAGTAAATGTGAAAATAATACAAGAAACTAAAATTAATTTGTGCTATTATATATTTAAGGTTAAAACATTGTCTTAGCAAATTTTGTAGTGCTACATTTATTGAATCACACCTGTGCTATATAATATCGAACAATCCCTTTAAGAACTTATTAGAGAGCTATGTCTGAAAAGTCTGTTCTGCAATATCTGTTGCTTAATAACTCTTTCAAAGCATTAATGCTGAGTTTATATAGTTCAAAAATTCTAATACTCAGTTTTAATACCTAAATACTTATATTTTACTAGTGATGGCATTCTAATATATTAAGTCCTTGTTTAAATACTTAATGCTTTATTAACTGTGCCATTATATTTCTGAATTTTAAAACCTTTAATATTGATAACTACTGCATATTCTTTTAATAAAACATGCAGCATATTTTATTACAAAAGGAAAACAATTCATTGTTTATATCTAGAGAGTGTAAAGCCTGAGTTAAGTAAGTTATTAAACAATAACTTCACAAGATGGTCAAACTGATTTACCACTGAAAGATGTATGAAAATCGATTTTGATCACACTTAGCATTAGGCAGGAATACAGATAAGATTTTCCATTCTTAACATTCTCACTGTAATGCACTACATTTGAAGCACTTGGATGTGCAATCAAATGGGAAATTTAGCCCCATACATTGGAAGCATTGAAACACATTGGTCTTTCATTTCCATTTTTCCCCTCCATTCCTCCTCCTGCCCCACAATATGTTATTCATCTGGTTTTAATGGTACATAAATGCTACATTGTCTCATGCCTGTTTGTGTTGGATGCCTTGTGCTAAGCTGTAACAAAATCTTGCTTCTTTTGCTAACTGTATACAGCTGCTTGCTTTAAATTAGTAGATTCTGAAATAGCTTTCCTTGCATGTCTAAAATAAAAGTATTGCATGTAAAAAAAAAAAGGAGTAGCTGTTCTGATAGCAGACAAAACAGACTTTTTTTTTTGTTTTTTGAGACACAGTCTCGCTCTTTTGCCAGGTGCCAGGCTGGAGTACAGTGGCACAATCTCAGCTAACTGCAACCTCCACCTCCCGGGTTCAAGAAATTCTCCTGCCTCAGTCAGGACTACAGGTGTAAGCCACCACACCCAGCTAATTTGTTTATTTTTAGTAGAGATGGGGTTTCACCATGTTGGCTAGGATGGTCTCGATCTTTTGACCTGGTGATCCGCCTGCCTCGGCCTCCCAAAGTGCTGAAATTACAGGCTTGAGCCACTGCATTCAGCCACAAAACAGACTTTAAATTAACAATGGCAAAAAAACAAGGAATAGCATTATACAATAATAAAAGAACTAGTCCAACAGGAAAGCATCACAATTCTACATACATACATATGCACCTAACATAGGAGCTCCCAAATTTATAAAATAATTTATTCTAGGCCTAAGAAATGACATAAAAAGCAAGGCAATAAAGAGTTGGGCATGGTGGTTCACACCTGTAATTCCAGCACTTTGGGAGGCCGAGGTGGGTGGATCACAAGGTCAGGAGGTTGAGACCATCCTGGCTAACACGGTGAAACCCCATCTTTACTAAAAGTACAAAAAATTAGCCTGGCATGGTGGCATCTGCCTGTAGTCCCAGCTACTTAGGAGGCTGAGGCAGAATAATTGTTTGAAGGTTGCAGTAAACTGAGATTGCACCACTGCACTCCAGCCTGGATAACAAAGTGAGACTCCATGGAAGGAAGGAAGGACAATAATTGTGGTGTACTTGAATACCCTGCTGACAATATTAGAAAGGTCATCTAGACAGGAAGTCAACAAAGATACAAGGAATTTAAATTATAGCCTAGAACAAATGAACTTAACAGATATTTACAGAACATTTTACCCAACTACTGAAGAATAAACATTCTATTTATCAGCTCATAAAATGTTTTCCAAAGTAGACCCTATATAGGCCACAAAATAAGTCTCGCCAAATTTGAGAAAATTAAAATTATATCAAACACTCTTTCTGACCACGTTGGAATAAAATTAGAAATCAATTCCAAAATGAATCCTCAAAGCCGTGCAAATGTATGTAAATTAAATAACCTGGTCTTGAATGATTGTTGCATCAACAATAAAATTAAGATAAAAATTTAACTTTTTAAAAAACTAAACAATAGTAATTTTAAGGGTCGACAAGAGAAAGTAGAATAGACCAAAGTCAGGCAAGAAAGTTTTATTATGGCCGGGCGCGGTGGCTCAAGCCTGTAATCCCAGCACTTTGGGAGGCCGAGGCGGGTGGATCACGAGGTCAAGAGATCGAGACCATCCTGGTCAACATAGTGAAACCCCGTCTCTACTAAAAATACAAAAAAAATTAGCCAGGCACGGTGGCATGTGCCTGTAATCCCAGCTACCCAGGAGGCAGAGGCAGGAGAATTGCCTGAACCCAGGAGGTGGAGGTTGCAGTGAGCCGAGATCGCGCCACTGCACTCTAGCCTGGGTAACAAGAGCGAAACTCCGTCTCAAAAAAAAAAAAGAAAAAGAAAGTTTTAGTAACCTGCCGGGCTGCTCCCCAACAGTCAGAGGCGGCAGCCCTGAGCTTACAAAACTGGGGTTTATATAGGGTGAGAGAGGCATAATCTATTCACAGGCACAGAGAATTTGTTAACTTGTAACAAAGTACTCGTAACAAGACCTACAATATATCATCCTGTGACTTTTGTGGCAGCAATCTTTAAAAAAAGATGGAAACCAGGATTGTTTACAGATACATGTCAAGCAGGAATTGACAAGTATGGATAACCAACATATGTTTTCCGTGTCCTCCCTTGATCTTGGGGGCACGTCTGCCAGGACCTCTCATCCAGCAAGAGGGTTCCAACCTGGATAGGGGGGTGCGCAGAAGATAAAGATGATAGACAGCCGGAGTCTGGAGGATTGAGAAGTCTTTGCTTCGCAAATGGCTTTATTCAGCTCACGGTCAGTTTTTATACATTCTTGAAACTTCGCTTATGTCAGTTCAATACATTGTTCCATGAGATCAAGGGGAACAGAAAGTTTTACAGTGAAATTACAGGTTACAACATAAATCAGGTGGTTACAGTAGAAAGATCAGATACACAATAAAACCCAGCAGGTGGGTCTTGTTATCTATTTAATAAAAGTTCAGAACAATTGTCTTGCTACACAGAAGGTTCTCTTAAGCTATGACAGTCAATCACTACTGTCTTGACAGAACAAAGAAGAATATGCTTGTGAAAATGAACATACTGCTACACATGACTACTAACCATTAGGTCATGGTGCACTTCAAGACTGCATGGCCATCTAGTAATTGTCCGCAGTAGTTTATCTTTAACCCAAAACCTCTTTTAGTTCCTGCTTTTCTCAGCTCGACTTCCTCCAACTGGAGACTCTGTGTCTGGGCTCCAACTCACCACAAGGTGAGACCCAATTTACTAGGGGTCTCACACGGGAGTGCTCCCCACACCTCGAGCTGCCTGGGTGGCTATAACCAGGCTTTGCTTAATTGCCACATATTTGGTAGTCTTGGTGTGGCGCCTAGATAGAAAGTCAGGAATGCAGCTGTGGAGCAATTAAGGGGGGGAGGGGTCAGCCTGCAAGACGGGGGTTTTCTGAGGCAGCACAGCTCGTCCCTAACAGTAGTGACAACCTATCAAAACCTCTGGAATACAGCATTAAATACCTACAGCAAAAAGTCTGAAGAGGCACAAATAGAAAATCTAGGCCAGGTGCAGTGTCCCATGCCTGTAATTCCAGCACCTTGGGAAGCTGAGGCAGGTGAATCACAAGGTCAGGAGTTCAACACCAGCCTGGCCAAGATGGTGAAACCCTGTCTCTACTAAAAATACAAAAATTAGCTGGGCGTGGTGGTGAGCACCTGTAATCCCAGGTACTCGGGAGGGTGAGGCAGAGAATTGCTTGATACTGGGAGGAAAAAAATAAATTAATTAATTAAAGAAACTGGGAGCTGGAGTTTACAATGAGCTGAGATCATATCACTCACTCTAGCCTGGACAACAGAGAAAGACACCGTCTCAAAAAAAAGAAAAAATCAAATTTAACCTCACACCTCAGAGAACTAGAGAAACAAGAACAAACCAAACCCCAACCCAACAAAAGAAAAAATATATAACAATAATAATTTTGCTTAAAGCAATAGGAAGAAAAAAAAAAGAATAATCAGAGAATAAGTAATATTATTGAAAATTTAAATAACACAAAAGACGAATGAAACAGAAAGCTGGTTTTTTAAAAAGAAAACCAAAATTGATAGATCATTAGTGAGATTAACCAAGAAAAGAGAAGACCTAAATAAGCTCGATTAGAAACAAAACAGTACTACAGAAATACAAAAGATCATTCACTGCTACTATGAACACTTTTTTTTTTTTTTTGAGACGGAGTTTAACTCTTGTTACCCTGGCTGGAGTGCAATGGCACAATCTCAGCTCACCACAACCTCTGCCTCCTAGGTTAAGAAAATTCTCCTGCCTCAGCCTCCGGAGTAGCTGAGATTACAGGCACACGCCACTATGCCCAGCTAATTTTTTGTATATATATATATTTTTTTAGTAGAGACGGGGTTTCACCATGTTGAGCAGGATGGTCTCAATCTCTTGACCTCGTGATCCACCCGCCTCGGCCTCCCCATGTGCTGGGATTACAGGCTTGAGCCACCGCGCCCGGCCAACTATGAACACTTTTACATGCACCAACTAGAAAACCTAGAGGAGATGGATAAATTCTTGGAAATGCACAAACTTCTTTGATTAAACCAGAAAGAAATAGAAATTCTGCATAGACCAATAAAAAGTTGTGAGACTGAAACAGTAATAAAAACATTGCAAAAAAAAAAAAAAAAAAGTCCAGGACCAGATGGATTCACAGCTGAATTCTATGAGGCATTCGAGGAAAAATTAGTACCAATCCAAGTGAAACTATCTCAAAAACAGAAAATTAGGGTATCTTTCCTAAATCATTCCACGAAGCCTATTATCAATCTAATACAAAAACCAGGAAAGAACATAGCACAAAACAAAACTACACACTATTTCTGATGGACATAGGGCAAAAATACTTTTTTTTTTTGAAACAAAGTTTCATTCTTGTTGCCCAGGTGCAATGGCCTGATCTCCTTTCCCCTCAACCTCCACTTTCCAGGTTTAAGCGATTCTCCTGCCTCAACTTCTAGAGTAGCTGGGATTACAGGCATGAGCCACCACGCCCAGTTATTTCATTTATTTATTTTTTTGAGACAAACTCTTGCTGTGTCTCCAGGCTGGAGTGCAGTGGTACAATCTTGGCTCACTGCAACCTCTGCCTCCTGGGTTCTTGCAATTCCCCTGCCTCAACCTCCCAAGTAGCTGGGACTACAGGCACGAGCCACCACGCCCGGCTAATTTTTTGTATTTTAATAGAGACGGGGTTTTACCCTGTTGGTCAGGCCCATCTTGAACCCGCAACCTCGAGAGATCCACCCACCTTGGTCTTCAAAGTGCTTCAATGACAGGCTAACATAAGCCACCATGCCCAACCAGCTGACTTTATTGTTAAAAAAAAAATCAGAGACTGGGCCGGGCGCTGTGACTCACGCCAGCAATCCTAGCACTTTGGGAGGCTGAGGTCATGAGTTCAAGGTCAGCTTGGCCATTCTGGTGAAAACCCACCTCATTTGAAAAAAAGAAAAAGAAGCCAGAACGATCCAAGATGGCCAATTGCTAACATCTCAGGATTGCAGCTCTCAGTGAAGGCGCGGAGAACTAGAGAACACCACACTTTCAGACAAAATTCTGGTCGCTCATGGAGCAAAAGATTCCCAGTGCAGGAGTCACACGGGTAGCCAGCGTGACTCCTGCGCCTGGTGCAGCGGTTTCACCAGCACCTCAGCGCGGGAGCTCTCGGAGAAGAGTAAACAGGGCTGGCTCCTTTTCTAACCCAAGGTTTGAAGGACCCACATGGCTCCCCAGTACAACTCCTGAGGCCGGCGCAGCGGCTGTGACGGCACCTCAATGCGGCAGCTCTCGGTGCAGAGTAAACGAGACTGGTTCCCCTTCTGACAAAGGTATGAAGCCCCGGGAAGGCAGAGTCACCTATTATGAACACAAGAAGAAAGCCAGACAGGAGAATCCTGAACAGAAAAGCAACATCAATCTTAACGCCGCTGCTCTGGCCTTGGGAACTAACAACTTGGACATCCACTCAAGAGACCTAATCTGAAAGTTGGTAATTTCAAAGACGACAGAAAGATAAATTTACAATAATGGGAAAAAACCAGCATAAAAAAGCTGAGAATACTCAAAGTCAGAACGCCTCTCCCCCTAAAGATGATCACAGTTCCACATCGACAATGGAACAAGGCTTGATGAAGAACGAGCGCATCCCGATGATAGAATCATGCTTCAGGGAATGGATAATAAGAAACTTTGGTGAGTTAAAAGAACATGTCGTAGCCCAAGGTAAAGAAACTAGGAACTTTGAAAACAGGTTTGATGAAATCCTATTGAGAACAGACAACTTAGAGAGGAGAATGAGTGAATTAATGGAACTGAAGAATACAATACAGGAACTCCGAGAAGTCTGCACAGGTTTTAACACTCAAATTGTTCAAGCAGAAGAAGGGATATCAGAGGTCAAAGTCCAACTTAATGAAATAAAAAGTGAAGAAAAGATTAGAGAAAGAAGGATAAATAGGAATGAGCAAAGTCTCCAAGAAATGTGGGACTATGTGAAAAGACCAAATTTACGTTCGATAGGTGTACCTGAATGCGACGGAGAGAATGAATCCAAGCTGGAAAATACCCTTCAGGATATCATTCAGAAAAATTTTCCTAAACTTGCAAAGCAGGTCAACATTCAACCCCAGGTAATATAGAGAACACCACAAAGATATTCCTCAAGAAGAGCAACCCCAAGGTACATAATCGTTAGATTCACCAGGGTTGAAACAAAGGAGAAAATACTAAGGGCAGCCAGAGAGAAAGGTCAGGTTACCCACAAAGGCAAGCCTATCAGACTTACAGCAGATCTCTCAGCAGAAACTCTATAAGCCAGAAGAGAGTGGGGGCCAATATTCAACATCCTCAAAGAACAGAATTTTCAGCCCAGAATTTCATATCCAGCCAAGCTAAGCTTCACAACTGAAGGAAAAATAAAATCTTTTATGAACAAGCAAGAACTCAGGGATTTTATTACCACCAGGCCTGCTTTACAAGAGCTTCTGAAAGAAGCATTACACACAGAAAGAAACAACCAGTATTAGCTTTTCTAAAAATAAACCAGAAAGTAAAGAGCACCAACATAAAAAAGAATTTACACCAACGAATGGATAAAACAGCCAGTTAACATCAAATGGCAGTAACCCTAAATTTAAATTGACTAAATCCTGCAATCAAAAGACACAGCCAAAACCCAACGGCATGTTACATCCAGACCCGTTTCACAGGCAAGGAGACACAAAGACTCAAAACAAAGGGATGGAGAAAGATTTACCAACCAAATGGAGAGCATAAATAAATAAATAAATAAATAAATAAATAAATAAATAGCAGGAGTTGTAATTCTTGTTTCTGATAAAATAGATTTTAAAGCAACAAAGATATAGTGGTAAAAGGATCAATGCAACAACAAGAGCTAACGATCCCAGCACCCAGATACATAGAGACTTAGACTCAATGAGAAAGAAAATTAATAAGGATATCAAGGACTCGAACACAGATCCGGAACAAGTAAACTTAATAAATATTCATAGAGCTCTCCACTTCAAATACACAAAATATACATTCTTGTCAATTCCACATCACACCTACTCATAAGTTTAAATAAAACATTGATTGGCCATTATTAATACCCAATTTTTTTCAGAATAAAGCAATATTTCCGTTCACTCTCCTCTTTCTCCCTCTCCTTTACTCATTTTTTTTTCTTTCCTTCTCTCAAAAAAGGAAATCAACTTGTAAACCTCTAGATCCAGGCCTGCAATGTCTCTCTCATTGCTTGATTTCCTTCCTTCCCTTCTTTCCCTCCCTCCCCGCTTTCTTCCTTCCTTCCTCCCTACCATCCTCCTTCCCTCCCTTCCTGCCTTCCTCCCTTAAAAAAAAGAAAAAGAGAACAAATCAGACACATCAGTGCATACAATTCTAAAAGACGAGGTGCTGGATGACTCCCCTCCCGCCCCGCCTTTCTTTATGACATAGTGTTTCCCGCTTGTCACACAGGCTGGAGTGCAACTGTGCAATCTTGGCTTATTGCAAGATCTGCCTCCTTGGTTCAAGCGATTGTCCTGCTGCAGCCTCCCAAGTTGCTGGGCTTGCAGGTTTTCCCCAGTATTACTTTTCTGTTTAGGATTGTCTTGTTTAGTTTTCTGGATTGTGGGAACTATGACTTTTGCCTGCGTTTTTGATACTCTGACAGCTACCTTTTCAGCTGCCAGAGTAGCCAGTTTTTTCTTGGTCTCGATTGTCAAAAACCTTTTGATTTATTTGCAGGAGTTGGGAAATGTTCATTCTAATGAGTCCCTCAAGTTTTTGTAACTTTCTCCGAATATCAGAAGCTGCCTGGGCCACAAATGCCAAATTAATAGCATGGCTATTTTCAGGAGCCACTTGATAAAATGGAGTGTAAATTCGATAGGTCTCCTGGAGGCATTTCAAAAACACTCCAGGTGACTCATCGGGCCCCTGGACAACTTCAGTTGTCTTACACAGATTCATGGGTTTTCAAGTGGCTCCTTCAATACCCACAAGGAGACACTGGTGGAAATCGTCCAAAGCTCTACACCCACCCGAGGCATTTGGGTCCCAGTCAGGCCAAGTAGAAGGAAAAACTTCATTTAGGAGATCTCGGGCTCCCTCCTCTGGCATACTGGCTGAACCAAGGAAAATCTTTCTGGCCTCCCTTCAAATACAGTCCCTTTCCTCAGATGTAAGAAGGGTCAGGAGAAGCTGTTGACAATCATCCCAGTTGGGCCAGTGAGTCAGGAGTATGGACTCAGCCAGTGAGGTCAGGACCTGAGGTTTCTCAGAGAAAGGTGGGTTTTTGAGACTTCCAGTTGTATAGGTCAGAAGCAGAAAAATGAACATAGACCAAAAATGGGACAGCTCACTCACTACCTCGTGGGGATGGTGCCTCCCTTAAGGGGAGGCGTAGGGCAGCCTCCTCTGGCTGAGGCTGCAGTTAAGAGGCAATAGGTGGAGACCACAAGAGACGAGGAGGTAGAGGGGGAGCCCAGGAGAGCCGGAAGATTATAGGGTAGAGGCAAGGGAAGAATAGAGTATTCCTCCTCCTCTGAAGGGGACAGAACAGAAGGAAGAGAGGGAGCTGAAAGTTGGAGCAAAGGAGAAGTCAGGCTCAGCCAAGGAGGGGTCAGACCAGTCACTGGGGCATGGGGGTGTGACAAGCTAGGCACCGACAACCTCTATGTGCCAGAAATTCCAGACTGGTGGATGTTTAGCACAATTTTCCCCCTAAGAACACCTGAGCTGTTTTTGACAGAAAAGACAGGACTGAGACGGTCAGCCCAAATGGCTAATGAGGGATTTAACTTCCTGAGACAGGAAGTCTGCACTAAGGACCTTGAAGGAGTTGTCACCCAATCTTCTTGGGCAATAAGGATGACGGGACATACAAATTCAAATGCTAGACACAAACAGTACAACAGACACGAGACATATAAATCCAGATTTTAGGAACAAAACAGGAAAACTGAAAGTGAGGTAGGTAAATTATTACGGCAGTTTATCAAGGACAAACAAGGGAAAGGGGGTCCTGTACTGGGATTACTCAGATGCCTGCCTGGCTGCACCCTTTGTGGGAACTTAGGCTCCTCTTGGCATAAACAAGTCGATATAAACCCCTGACTTGGATCAGGCCTAGCCCGATGCTGCCTTTAAGCTGTATGAGGTCACCATGGAACCGCAGGTTAGGGTTCACTTGGACTCTGTAGCTTTCACCATGGAGCCATAAACTGGATTCTTAGATGCAAGCCTCTAAGGTCCCCACGCACTCACACATGCACACACACATGCACTCAGAAGTTATGAATTTTGCACTTTTTTTAAACCAGTCAGGATCCCAGAGAAATTTCATTTCCCTCAGAAATTTCTCAAAGAACTGAAACTCTGTCCTCCAGCATCCCGGAGCGTTGACAGAATCCTGAAAGGTGGACCTCGTCAGGGCCAATGCCCCTCCCTGGTCCAAACACAGAGCCAGGCCTAACTTACCTTCTCCGTGGACGAGGACAGAGGACTCAGAAAAGAAGTTAGAGGGGTGAGTCAGTGGTCGATCCAATCTCCTCTCGAGGATGGTGACCTATGGGGCTCTGGAACGTCTCAAGGGATGCCTCCCCTATACTTCACCACTGCATCTGGGGGACCTCAGAGTGAGTCCAGCCCACACCTGGTGGCAATATCTCGCCAAATGTTGTAACCAAGCGAGTTAGAGAAAGCGCTACTCTCTGAGTTCTGATTGAGAGTCTTTTTTTTGCCGGCAACTGAGAGGTGGCTGACACTTAAAAATTTCTCTGCCCTGAGGAAGGGGCTTGATTTCTTTGCATACCTAGCTTAGGATACGGGAGGGGGAGCCTAGCTGAAGCAGAATTTTACAGAAGCAGAACAAGCAAGTTAGTAGGAAGAGGCTGGGAACCAGGAGGCAGGAGGTTCCCATAGTTGCTGGTTACTAAGAGCATTTCCATATAATCATCAAGGAGGCTACCAGGGAGGACTTTCCATACAATCAATCACCAAGAGGGGTATTCACAACAGCAGATAGACTTGCCAAGCAGGATGTGGTTACATTGGTTACAGGTATTGAGAACAGCATGACCCAAACCTCAACATTTCAAGGCTCTGAGCACAGCATGACTCAGTACTGCACCTGTGAGGGCTGTGGCAGGGAGGGAGAAGCTAAGCTGGAGCTTGTCAGGCTTATTTCTAGGATGGAGTCAGGTTAGTTCATTTTAGTAGGATTTCTCTCTGGTATGAATTCTCTTATGTTTAATAAGGTTTGAGGACTGGTTAAAAGCTTTGCCACATTCTTCACATTTGTAGGGTTTCTCTCCAGTATGAATGGTCTTATGCGCAGTAAGTTTTGAGCGTTGTATAAAAACTTTGCCACATTCTTCACATTTGTAGGGTTTCTCTCCAGTATGAATTCTTTTATGTGTAGTAAGATTTGAGGACCGGTTAAAGGCTTTGCCACATTCTTCACATTTGTGTGGTTTCTCTTCAGTATGAATATTCTTATGTTCAGTAAGAACTGAGGATTGTTTAAACGCTTTGCCACATTTTTCACATTGGTAGAGTTTCTCTTCACTATGAATGCTCTTATGTCTAGTAAGGTGTGAAGACTTGTTAAAATCTTTGCCACATTCTTCACATTTGTAGAGTTTCTCTCCAGTATGAATTCTCTTATGTATAGTAAGGGATGAAGAGTATTTATAAGCTTTGCCACATTCTTCACATGTGTAGGGTATCTCTCCAGTATGAATTTTCTTATGTTCAGTAAAATTTGAGGATCGGATAAAAGCTTTGCCACATTCCTCACATTTGTAGGGTTTCTTTCCAGTATGAATGTTCTTATGTTCAGTAAGGTTTGAGGATTGGTTAAAAGCTTTTCCACATTCTTCACATTTATAGGGTTTCTCACCAGTATGAATTCTTTTATGCTTGGTAAGGGCTGAGGAGTATTTAAAAGCTTTGCCACACTCTTCACATTTGAAGAGTTTCTCTTCAGTATGAATTTTCTTATGTTCAGTAAGAGAGTAGGATCGGTTAAAAGCTTTGCCACATTCCTCACATTTATAGGGTATCCCTCCAGTATGAATTTTCTTATGTTCAGTAAGTTTAGAGGATCGGTAAAAAGCTTTGCCACATTCCTCACATTTGTAGGGTTTCTCTCCAGTATGAATTCTTTTATGTGTAGTAAGAGTTGAGGACTGGTTAAAGGCTTTGCCACATTCTTCACATTTGTAGGGTTTCTCTCCAGTATGAATTCTTTTATGTGTAGTAAGATTTGAGGACTGCCTAAAGGCTTTGCCACATTCTTCACATTTGTATGGTTTCTCTCCAGTATGAATTGTCTGATGTGTAGTAAGGTGTGAGGACTGACTAAAGGCTTTGCCACATTCTCCGCATTTGTAGGATTTCTCTCCAGGATGAATTATCTTATGTCTAGGAAGGTGTGAGGACTGGTTGAAATTTTTGCCACATTCCTTATGTTTGTTGACTTTCTCTCTGGTATGAATTCTCTTATGTGCAGTAAGGATTGAGAACTGATTAAAGACTTTGCCACATTTTTCACATTTGTGGGGTTTCTCTTCAAAATAAATTCTTTTATGTTTAGTAAAGATTGAGGATCCATTAAAAACTTTTCCACAGTCTTCACATTTGTAGAAATTTACTCTCAAATGAATTATTTTATGTTGAGTTAGGTTTGAAGAAATGCAAAATGATTTGCCAAATTCTTTAAATTTAAAAGTTTTTTTTCCAGTATATCTTATCTTATGTCCACTTAGATTGGAAAAGTTATGAATGATTCTCATGTATTCATCACATTGAAATATTCTGCTCTGGGTAGTTGGCAAACATTTATTAAGTCCATTATAACCTCCTGTTTGCACTTTGCACTCATCCACACTTTTCCCATATTTTCTTAACTGTAAATTCTCATGTCCACATTTTCCATATCTTTTCAGTGTCACTTTTTGAAAAGAATCTTTTATATTCTGCTCTGGTGAAAAGTCTTGGGCAAAATGAGAGCAAATAACCGAAAGAAAAATAACAAGTTACTCCACTTGTTAGACTCAGATGAATATACTTTACAAATCCAATCTATATAATTATACAAATTACATAAACAAGATGGTACAGAAAAATGCCAAAGACCTTCTTTTCTTTTCTTTTTTTTCCTGAGATGGAGACTTGCACCCTGTTGCTAGGGCTGGAGTGCCATAGTGTGATCTCAGCTCACTGCAATCTCTGCCTCCTGGGTTCAAGTAATTCTCCTGCCTCAGCCTCTTGAGTAGCTAGGAGTACAGCTGTGAGCCAACACACCCAGATAATTTTTGTATTTTTAGTACAGATGGGATTTTACAATGTTAACCGGGCTGGTCTCAAACTCCTGACCTCCTGATTCACTCACCTCAGTTTCCCAAAGTGCTGGGATTACAGACATGAGCCACTGCATCTGGCCCAAAGGCCCTAATTTCTTAATAAAAATATAAGTGTAACAAAAACATACTGACCAAAATACATTTGTGGAAAATTTATAAATTAGTTGTATGTGCAGTGACCCAGGTGAGCACAATGCAAAGAGTGACTTTAGTGTGGAAATTCACTCAGGGTGGTTGCCAAAATAGTATAAGAAAAACGTCAAAGAAAGTTACAGAAAATAGTCACAAACCTCTTTAGAAGGTATCAGGGTTTTTTCTGTAGTTCTTGACTGAAGGCAGTCAGAGTCTCTTTGCAGGAGCCAAAGAGATTAGGGCACAAATACAAAAGAATGTGAGTAGTTTACCTAACTTACTTGTTTACTCATATGCTCTTAAAACTAAACTTTGAGCTAGACGGCCCTCTTTTTATTATTATTTTGAGATGGAGTTTCGCTGTTATGACCCAGACTGGAGTTCAATGGCACAATCTCAGCTCATCGCAACCTCTGCCTCCTGGGTTCAAGCAATTCTCCTGCCTCAGCCTCCTGAGTAACTGGGACTACAGGCGCACACCAACACGCCAAGCTATTTTTTGTATTTTTAGTAGAGACGGGGTTTCACCTTGTTGACCAGGATGGTCTCGATCTCTTGATCTTGTGATCCACCCGCCTTGGCCTCCCAAAGTGCTGGGATTATAGGTGTGAGCCACCGCGCCTGGCTTATTATTATTATTTTTTTTAAAGATGGGGTTTCACCATGATGGCCAGGCTGGTCTTGAACTCCTGACCTCAGGTGATTCAGCCACCTTGGCCTCCCAAAGTGCTAGGATTATAGGCATGAGCCACCGCACCCAGCTAGATGGCCCTCTTGAGGGGAGGTCAACGAGGGATGTTACCCATTAATGTTGTTTGCTTAGCGCATCAGAACCTGTCCGTTGACCTTTAACTTCTAGTGGTGTTGACTCAACCTTTGTCAATTAAACTTTACTGAATAAATTTGAGTCTCAGTGGCTGGTGGGGCTGGCAGCAGCTATCTCTTTAGAGCACTCTCCAGGGAGTCTGTAAGTGGTCACAGACACTAGCCAAACTGGGAAAGCATAACATCAGTGTGTCAGGGTACTTTATTCATCCATCGCTGAGTCAGGGCAAAACAGACCCCCACAGGTGGTGATCCCAACAGTGGTGCCCAACGTGGGGTGACTCCAACAACATAGAAAGAAAATAAAATGTAGCTCTTTCTGCTTGCCTTTAAGAGTAAATTGCCAACCTTAATTATTTTGCATATAGAGGCATACCTGAAAGTGGATAATTTATTATTATTATTATTTTTTAATAGAGACAGAGTTTCTCTGTATTGGTCAGGCTGGTCTCAAACTCCTGACCTCTGGTGATCCACCCGTGTCAGCCTCCCAAAGTGCTGGTATTACAGGTGTGAGCCACCATGCCTAGCTGAAAATGGATAATTTATAAAGACAAAAGGTTGGCTGAGTGTGGTGGCTCATGCCTGTAATCACAGCACCTTTGGGAGGCTGAGATAGGTGGATCACCTGAGGTCAAGAGTTTAAGACCAGCCTGGCCAACATGATGAAAACCTGTTTCTACTAAAAATACAAAATTAGCGAGGTGTGGTGGTGTGTGCCTGTAATCACAGCTACTTGGGAGGTTGGGGCAGGTGAATCATTTGAAGCTGGAGGCGGAGGTTACAGTGAGCCAAGACTGTGCCACTGCAGTCCAGCCTGCATGACAGTCTCAAAAAAAAAAAAAAAGAAAAAAATGTTTATTTGGCTCATAGTCTGGCAGATTGTACAGGTGTGAGCCAGCATCTGCTTCTGGTGAGAGTCTCACAAAGCTTACAATCATAATGAAATGCAAAGAGTAACTGAACATATTACACGGTAAGGGACAGGCAAAGTGTGAAATAAAGAAGCCAGGTACTTTCAATGAACCAGCTCTCATTAAAATTAACAGAGTGTAACGTTATTGATTACTAAGATGATGATGCCAAGCCACTCATGAGAAATTTGCCTCTATGACCCAAATACCTCCCATCAGGTTCTGCATCCAACCCTGAGGACTGCATTTTGCAGCATAACGTTTGGGAAACATGAACATCCACATTATAGCACAGACAAACTAGCCTTAACAGACATCTAAAAAACTTTCCAGTAAAAAGCAAGAATATACCCAATGTTCTCACTTGCACCTGGTGTATTGTGTTAGGACACATAATAAGTCTCATTAAATTTAAGAATATCAGCTGGGTGCTGGTAGTTCACTTTGGGAGGCCAAGGTGGGAGGATCTCTTGGAGCCAGAAGTTTGAGACCAGCCTAGGCCACATAGTAATACCCGGTCCTTACAAATAATCAAAAAATTAGCCAGGCATGGTTAGTGCATCTCTATAGTCCAAGCTACTCAGGAGGCTAAGGTGAAAGGAGCACTTGATCCCTGAAGGTTGAGGCTGCAGTCACTGCACTCCAGCGTGGGTGACAGAATAAGATCCTGTCTGAAAACAGCAACAAGAAATAATAATAATAATAATAAAGATAAGAAAATAAAAATTATACACTTAATGTTTTCAGAGGAAAACTGAATGAAACCAGATATCTAGAGCATAAGTAAAACTAGCACATCCAAATATATATAAAAATAACACATACTCTTCAACATATTTTTACTCAAGTGTCAAAAAATTTAATTTTTCAAAGATGTCCATATAACTTACAATAATAAATAAATTCAGTATAATTTCTGCAAAAATCCCAAAAGTGCAATGTTTTACAAGAATTTGTTTAAAGGTTTTTTGTTTGTTTGTTCGCTTGTTTCATTTTTTGAGATGGAGTCTCACTCTGTTGCACAGGCTGGCGCACAGTGGCACGACCTAGGCTCACTACAATCTCCACCTCCCGGGTTCAAGCAATTCTCCTGCCTCAGCCCTCCTGAGAAGCTGGTACTACAGGCATGCACCACCACGCTCAGCTAATTTTTGTATTTTTAGTAGAGACAGGGTTTCACCCTGTTGGCCAGGCTAGTCACAAACTCCTGACCTTGTGATCCACCTGCCTCAGCCTCCCAAAGTGCTGGGATTACAGGAGTGAGCCATCATGCCTGGCCTTAAAAGTTTTTAATTTGATCATAAATTATAGCCAAACACTCATGAAAAAGAACAAAGAGGTATTATACTCTGGATCTCAAAACACATTAATAGCTAAAAAAAAACAAAAACAAGGTGGTACTGACACAAAGACAGATAAATAGATAAAAAAACAGAATACACAGCCCAGAAATGAACTTTTCTGTATATGATTAAACAATCTTTTACAAAGTTGCTAGGAGCACACAATAGAGAGAAGACAATCTTTTCAAAAAATCATGTTGAAAACGACATCAACACTAATAAAGCTGGATCCTTTCTTTGGATAATATACAAAAAATATTTTAAATAAAATATTTAGCCAGGCACAGTGGCTCACACCTGTAATCCCAGCACTTTGGGAGGTCGAGGTGGGTGGATCACGAGGTCAAGAGATGGAGACCATCCTGGCCAACATGATGAAACCCCGTCTCTATTAAAAATACAAAAAAATTAGCTGGGCATGGTGGCTTGTGCCTGTAGTCCTGGCTACTCAGGAGGCTGAGGCAGGAGAATTGCTTGAACCCAGGAGGTGGAGGCTGCAGTGAGCCGAGGTCGTGCCACTGCACTCCACCCTAGCGCCTGGTGACCGGGTGAGACTCTGTCTCAAAAAAAAAAAAAATTTAGGCATATAAAAATAATACATCTCTTAGAAAAAAAGAGAAATGACATGACGTTGGTCTTGGCACCACTTTTTTGATATGACATTAAATGCAGCCAGGTGCAGTGGCTCACACCTATAATCCCAGCACTTTGGGAGGCCGAGGTGGGTGGATCACGAGGTCAGAAGTTTGAGACCATGCTAACACTGTGAAACCCTGTCTTTTGTAAAAAAAAAAAAAGGCAATAAATGCATGAGCAACAAAGAGAAAAGTAACTACACAAATTTCTGCACATCAGGAAAACATTAGAGTGACAATGCCTTCTAGAAAATAAGTAAAAATATTTGCAAATTATATGTAATAGAAGTTAATATTGAGAATATAAAAACAAGTCTTAAATGGACTAATAATTGAAATACATTTTTATCAAAAAATACAAAAATGAGGGCTGGGCACGGTGGCTCACACCTATAATCCCAGCACTTTGGGAGGCTGAGGCGAGTGGATCACAAGGTCAAGAGATTGAGACCATCCTGGTCAACATGGTGAAACCCTGTCTCTATGAAAAATACAAAAAATTAGCTGGGCATGGTGGCATGTGCCTGTAAGCCCAGCTACTCAGAAGGCTGAGGCAGGAGAATTGCCTGAACCCAGAAGGCAGAGGTTGTGGTGAGCCAAGATTGCGCCATTGTACTCCAGCCTGGGTAACAAGAGTGAAACTCTGTCTCAAAAAAAAAAAAGAAGAAGAAGAATATTTGTCAAGAGCTGGAGAGAGGGTAAAACGGTCAGCTGTTACTTAATGGATATTGAGTTTCAGTTTCTCAAGATGTAAAATTTTTAGAACACTTTTGCCTAACAA